GGGGGCAAAACTTTTTTGCAAGTTTTTGGCCTCGGGGTCTCTGAAAGTCCGTGAAGACGGCGTCTGACAAATTTGTGTCCGTGACAACTTTTGCTCTACTACTCAAGATCTATCTACCCTAAAAATTTCAGAAATTTTCGTTGAGCCGTTTCTTAGAAACGCCGGAAAGGGGGGGGGGGTCCTCTTAAATAAAGTAATTCAATTGTTTTCTTTACAATTTTTTCACATCTTACGAGTACTTAGACAAGTATAAATCTCTACTTTCTTTCATGATTTGCTTTCATTACTATTATGATTCGTTTTTCATACTTTCTCTTTTCCTATCTATGTAGTATATGCATCTCTCTGATGCTCATATATGAGCTATCAATCTATAAACTCTTCTATCTATATGAATTATAAGTATTCGATATTGATGACTCTTCTAACTCAACAAATTCAAGACCCTATACTACACTTCTCTAGATAAAAAAGCTATGGGATATTTAAAAATTCCGCGCATATGAATGTTTGTTGAATAAGTCAAGAATGGAAACAGCTGGAGATCTTTGGTTTTCACCATTTGAAGAATGAGGCACCTAAATGTGTTGTTCTCTGATACTGTACAAGATCAATCCATTTTGAATTTGATCATTTCTTCAAAACATTGAAAAATATGCATGATAAAGGTCTATTATTTTGATACGATTTTAGTTTCAATAAATGATTTGGATATACTAAAAAAAATCTGTAGAATAATAAACCCAAAACGGGTTTATAAAATTGTACCTTATAATAAAACTTTTTTTCGCATGTAAAATTTTCTTAATCTCCGTCCAGGAATTTAATAAAGAGTTTAGAAATTAAATATGAATTTCGTTTGCCATACAGTGCGATTATCATACTTATCGATTTAGTGTGATAACATTCTGCTTCAAATAATCACTATGTAGTTTAAGATCTATTGGTATCGTGGCTTACAACCGTCAGTATTCTTATAAAGAAAAGTGAATTAGATCTCATTCATTTTTCTTTGTACTAACGTCGAAAGTTGTAACCCATGATACTGAAAGTTCTTTAAGTACGTTATCTATATGCCAAGAAAGAGTTCATCAAATGATATCACGAATCATTCTTCAACGTTACTATGCATACTTAGTTTTCATGAATCTAAATTGAAAAAAAAAGAAATCATTCATTGTAAAACTTTCATACGTGCGTTGTTTTCAGTATAATATTAAACTAAATAAAAAACAAACAAATATCGCTATTTATATAAATACAGAATACCTATTTTAAGGCAAGGGAGAACAGCAGAATCCATGAATCCACTTGAATCCACTCTGATATGAAATTCTTAGAATAATAAAAATACGATAGTTTTCATTTTCTCAATTCTTTATTGAAAGTAGAGAAAAAAGTTTAACAAAATGAATATTTGTGAAGACTGCAGGAATCAATCAAGAATTATTTATATTAAAAAGCTTTTTTATTATTAATAATTATATTTTTTATTTAAAAACCAACTGTAAAATGTAAAAAAAAATTAAAAATTCAATACTTGATAGAACCGATTAACTATAAAAGAAAAAAAAAGTGAATTATTAAGTTAAAAATTTCAATTTACTATAAAACCTTACTATATTAGAGAACGCGAAGGAGGTAATCGAAGAAGTACAAACAAGACAATGTTCGGCATATAAAAGTTATCTTCTTCTGGTTCTTTCTATTGATTCTCTTGCGTTATATGAAGATTCTATCGTTTGAACTTTTCTTTTCACTTGTCTTTTAGTTTTCAATGATGATGGTTCTTCGATAATGTTTTCATCACAAGTTTCATCATCGTCTGCTGATTTGGAGATAGAAGATGCCGTGACTGAAGTTGAATTCGATTGTATTGTATCCGATGGTGATATAGTAGGTATCGAATTTGGTGATGCAATTCGTTGAAGTACATTATCTGATGTGGTCAATGGTTGCTGATTATTTGTTGATGATGGTGATGATACTTAAGGATTATTAATATTGTTTTTTAATCCAGAGCATACATTAGTTAAATCTTGTAAATGACGATAGAAATTTGCCACGTCTATATACTAATGTTGTCCATCTTTCACAGCAGCACTATATTACATTTTCATGTACCGCTTGAATCATTTTGTAATGAAATAAAACAATCCTTGCCTTCTACCAAAGAAAGTCGTTTCTTATTATCTTTTGATTTGTTGTTCTTGCACCAGTTATTTGATGTACCAAGCATATATGATTTATGGGTGTGGGTGGGTGTGGATATGGGTCTGCGTGTGGAGTGTGGGTGTGGGGTGTGGGTGTGGATGTGGGTGTGGATGTGGGTGTGGATGTGGGTGTGGATGTGGATGTGGATGTGGGTGAGGGTGTGGATGTGGATGTGGGTGTGGGTGTGGGTATGGGTGTTGGTGTGTAGGTGCGGATGCATAAATAGGTGCTTATATCACTAATTCAAACCGACACCCACACCCACCCACACCCACACCCACACCCACACCCACACCCACAACGACACCCACACTTACACCCCACACCCACACCCACACACCCACACCCACACCCACCCACACCCACACCCACACCCACCCACACGCACACCCACCCACACCCACACGCACACCCATCCACACCCACAACGACACCCACCCACACCCACAACGACACCCACACCCACACCCACACCCACAACCACACCCACACCCCACACCCC